AATTAATTATTATTTAAATAATGTGATTATTTAAATTTGAATTTGAACACATCAAGATTTATCCATTTAAACTTATTTGATAAGTTGTTCAATTTAGAATTCAAATTAATTTAAGTTTGACTTAAATTCGAATTTGTATTTGAAATAAAATTGGACTACAGGATAAAGAATGATTTTCTCTTCCTCCCCTATCCAGTATTGGCGCCACACACATGGATAAAAATCCCTAGCATGGCCGGCCACAAGGGATAAGGAATAGATGAGATTTTGTTCAAAATTCAAATAGGAGATAATTGACAAGCTTTATCTTGGAGATAGAGATTGGATTCCTTCTAGAAGTTTGACTTCTACTCTATAAATATGAGAATGATAAAAAATTGTGAAGACAATTTTTGAATTAATTTTTCAACCCTAATTGTTAAGCCTGGCCGAAATTCCCCTAATAGAGAGGAAGGAAAAAAAAATTTTCTCCAAAAATTCCACATCGTGCATGTGTTGGTGTTTGTGGGAATTTGAGTGTTTATTGCAACCCGTTTTGTCTCATGTGTGCCCACACACACATCTTCATGGATTTTAGGAATTGACGTGGAAGACATTGGTTTTCTAAACACAAAGCTTTGGAGCAAGGATTATTCGAGGTCTAAGAACTCAAGTTATCAACCGAGTCGCCCTCCAGGTATTTTTTCTAATTGAGTTCTTAATATATGAATTAATGTGATTAATTTATTCGTGTATAAATTAATATAATCTATAGAGTATCTCAAAGGTTTTATGAAATTTTTTGTTATACACGGTCCGCCTCCCCACACCACGCTTCCGCATCCGAATTCGATTCGGCAACCAACACTCCACACCTAGGATCTAAAATGGTTGCCAATGCATATAACATAGGACAACCTGATCAATAACTTTTAAATTTATTTTCCATTAAGTTAACTATATTTCCAAAAAGTTGTGTATCCCTATAATTAGAAAATATTTCTGAAATATTAAATAGTTGATGTAAAGCTAAATGTGCAGTAGGATAATAAACTCCAGAAAATAATTCAGTAGCATTGTAAAAAACTTCTAAAAATTTAAAAAAATACTCAGCAATCTGCCAATCAGGATCGAAAATTAAAATTTGATCGTTCTTACTGTTTACGTATGTCGTGATAAGCTGTGAATA